TTTTGAGAATACCGAACATGAAAACATGAATATATACATGTATGTGACTTTACTTCTGCATATACTTCACACTATGTAAAGCAATTCCGTGGTCTAGTGGTGATGTCTCTCGCTTCAAATGTGAGAGGTCCCGGGATCGAATCTCGGTCGAACCTTTCTTTCTTTTTTTTTTTTTTAAATACTTTTTTTTTTTTTTTTTTTTTTACTAAATGATAGTATTCAGCATGTGAAATGAAAAATTTATGAGGTTATCAAATCATCATTACAGTGATAAAAATTCCATATAAAAAAATCTTCTATACACATAATGAAGAATAAGCAACCAAATCTTTATATGCATATTGACATACATGTACATGTATTTTATTTGCTTCAGTATACATGTATACATTTAATAATTCTACAAATTCAGTCAGGGGGAGCTGACTTTTTCCCTAAGCGGGGGACACGAATTCTCTGAATTAGCTTGTATATGTAGCAATGATTTAACTTTTTGTAGCGGTATTGACTATGTAGCGGTTATGAACATTTTGAAATTGAAGCAGTAATGATACGCACCCCTATCCCACAAGAGTGCACGACTTTTTAGAATCATTTATTATCTTTGCTTACGCTGACAAGTGATGAAAACTAAGCTTTATTATTATTTTAATCCTCTAGTGTAAGGATAATAAAGCATATTGAGATTGTTGGTAAGTACGAAGTCTGTCGTAAGTAAAATCTTAAGTTCAATCTGCTACGAATGCGTTCGTGCATCGTCGGAAACCCACGGGTGATCTCGTCTTTACTTATCACTCATGGGCAAAATCACCGAAAAATCGTCGTATGTAATTAAATATGCATGGGTCATTTGATTGGCCACATCACAGAGTCACGATGTGAAACGACAGTCTTCGTCAATTTCCCGGGAGTCCGATGCCCGGGACCTGGTAAAATTGGAAGCGGGCACGTGGAATTTGCACACTTACAAGCCCGAAGGGCATGTAAATTCTAAGGCATAAGCCGCGGTATAATAAAATTAAATAAGACCAATAACACTAAATGTACTTTAAAGTCTTTTATTTTCCATCTAAAGTCAAGTTCAAAATAAAATTTAACTGAAATCTTATTTTACCGCGATTTCAAAGGAACTCTTCTGCTAAGGAGACACAAAAAGTGTACAGGTTGAAAAAAATATTGGAAGGACAATAGATCGATACAATGGATTTCAGATCATTTCCTTGGCATGAAATGGCAAATAAGAATAATACTATAACTTGATAAAATTCTGGGCATGTAAATATTTGTTCGGGCTTGTGTAATTGGTTATCACACCTGCCCGAAGGGCATGTGCTGAAAAAAAAATTTGGCGAAGACTGAAACAATGAATCACAGTTCACGTTACGCATGCATGTTCGGCATTGCCAAAAACATGAAAAACTCATTCCGTAGTTAATACAGCTGATAAATCCACTCACCGGTGCATTTTGCAGTTAACAAGAGGCCCAAGGGCCTTGAATCGCTTTTCTGATAAATTGTACAACCAATCACTTGTATTTGAAGCCTCTAACCCTAAGTATCCTCAAGACCTGAGTTGCATCAACTGACAAAGTTTGATGATTCTTAGCCAATAGGACTGAAGATATTTCAATAAAGCTATAAAAAGCCATGAGTAGGTCACTGTGACCTACTTTAAGATTGAAGTTTTCTGAGGACTCAAGATGCATTAATAGACAAACTAAGATTGAATTAAGCAATTTAGTATTTGAGATATTCAAAAGTAGGTCACCTTGACTTACTTTTTGGTCTACATTCTTGGAAAACCCAAAATGCATCAACTGACAAAGTTTGATGATTCTAAGTCAATAAGTACCAGAGATACTTAAATATAGCCATAAAATGTCAAAAGTAGGTCATCGTGACCTACATTTTGGTTGACATTTTTCAGAGTCCCAAGATGCATCTGCTGACTAAGTTTGATAATTCTAAGCCAAAAAATACCTGAGATATTCAAAAGTAGGTCACCATGACCTACTTTTTGGTCGACATTCTCTGAAAACCCAAGAGGCATCAACTAACAAAGTTCGATGATTCTAAACCGATAAGTGCTAGAGATACTTAAATAAAGCCATAAAATGTCAAAAGTAGGTCACTGTGACCTAATTTTTGGTTTTCATTCTCCGAAAACCCAAACTGCATCAACTGACAAAGTTTGATGATTCTAAATAAGTATGCCCATAAGTACCAGAGATTTGGTCTACATTCTTGGAAAACCCAAAATGCATCAACTGACGAAGTTTGACGATTCTAGGTCAAAGATACATAAATTTAGCCATAAAATGTCAAAAATAGGTCACTGTGACCTACTTTTTGGTCCACATTCCCGAAAACTCAAGATGCATCAGCTGACAAAGTTTGATGATTCTAAGCCAATAAGTACTGGAGATACTTAAATATAGCCATAAAATGTCGAAAATAGGTCACAGTGATCTAATTTTTTGATTGTCACTCTCCGAAAACCCATGATGCATCAACTCACAAAGTTTGATGATTCTAAGCAATAAATACCAAAGATACTTAAATTTAGCCATAAAATTCTAAAGTAGGTCCTTGCGACCTACATTTTGGTCGACATTTTTCAGAGTCCCAAGATGCATCTGCTGACCAAGTTTGATGATCATAGGTCTGAAAGTAATCAAAATATGCCTTTTAAACAATTTGAAAACAAATGCCTGCAAAATTCTAAAAGTAGGTCACAGTGACCTTCTTTAACTTAAATATGTTTTAAGGTCCCAAGATGCAGCAACTTACAAGATTTGATGATTCTAACCCTCTTAGTGTCTGCAATAATGGGATTAAATGTTTTAAAAAGGATAGGTCATAAAGTTCAAAAAGTAGGTCAAGGTGACCTACTTTTAAGTTGACGTTGTTCAAGGACCCAAGATGCAACAACTGACAAAGTTTGATGATCATAGGCCTTAAAGTGTTCAAAATATGCCTTTAAATCAATTTGAAAACAAATGCCCGCAAAATTTAAAAAGTAGGTCACCGTGACCTACTTTGATTTAACATGATGTTAAGTCCTAAGATGCATCAACTTACAAGATTTGATGATCCTAGTCCTTATAGTAAGCAAAATATAAACATTTTCATTAATTGTAAATTTAGGTCAACTTTAAAGTGACCTTGAGACCATGCCATTTGCCCCAGTGTCATGCCTTGAACAATTTTTAGCTGACCTCAACGAAGTTGGGGGAGCTAATGTAATACCCTCGGCGTCGGCGTCGGCGTCAGCGTCGGCGTCCCAGGTTAAGGTTAAGTTTTTTGGAGCAGTTTTCTTTTTAAGTACTTCTATGCCCTATATTGATTAGACATGCATGGAAGATGGTTCTAGTGTGTTTCATTATACCAGTCAAAGTTTCAGATGCTGCAATTTCAGCAAAGGAATGACCAGGTTAATGTTTTTGGAGCAGGTTAACATTTTTGGTGCAGTTTTTGGTGTAGGTTTCATTTCCAAGTAACTATAAGCCCTATGTTGACCAAACTTGCATGGATGATACATCTAAGGATGCATACTACCAGGCTTGCTTCGGATGCTGAATCTGACCTACATTTTACGGTTGAGTGAACAGGTTAAAGTTTTTGGTGCAGGTTTCATTTCCAAGTAACTATAAGCCCTATGTTGACCAAACTTGCATGGATGATACATCTACGGATGCATACTACCAGGCTTGCTTCGGATGCTGAATCTGACCTACATTTTCCGGTTGAGTGAACAGGTTAAAGTTTTTGGTGCAGGTTTCATTTCCAAGTAACTATATAATAAGCCCTATGTTGACCAAACTTGCATGGATGATATATCTAAGGATGCATACTACTGGGTTTGCTTCGGATGCTGAATCTGACCTACATTTTCCGGTTGAGTGAACAGGTTAAAGTTTTTGGTGCAGGTTTCATTTCCAAGTAACTATAAGCCCTATGTTGACCAAACTTGCATGGATTATACATATAAAGATGTATACTACCAGGCTTGCTTCGGATGCTGTATCTGACCTACATTTTCCAGTTGAGTGAATAGGTTAAAGTTTTTGGTGCATGATTCATTTCCAAGTAACTATGAGTTCTTTAATGACCAAACTTGCATGGATGATACATATAAGGATGCATACTACCGGGCTTGCTTCGGATGCTGAATCTGACCTACTTTTTGTTGATGAGTGAAAATGTTAGTTTTTGATGCATGTTTCATTCCCAATTAACTATGAGCCCTATAATGAGCAAACTTGCATGGATGATAAATCTTAGGATGCACAATAATGGACTTGCTTCGGATGCTGAATTCGACATACATTTTCAGATAATAGACCAGGTAAAAGTTATGGGTGCAGGTCTATTACCAATAAACTATAAGGCTTATATAATATTGTATAAACCAAACTTGCACAAATGTTGCATCAAGAGATAAAAACTCTCAAATTTGCTTCAGATGCTGAATTTTAATTACATTTTCATGAAGAAGAACTAGTTAAAATTTTTATGTAGTTCTATTTTAAAATCAGATTAAAATTGCTTAAATATTTTTATCGTTGGAATGTACACTTCTTGTTGATTAATTGTGTGGTTTTGCCTTATTTAAAGACAACATTCGTTGAGGTGCGCTCTGTAATCTCTGATTACCTATGTTTAATCTTCAACATAGCTGATCCTTTGTATGTAAGTTTGATGAAAATCTGCCTGGTGGTTATGGAGAAGAAGATTTTTTAGCAACCAGTACTTTTGGTTTTGTTTTCCTGATTATCTCCCCTTGTTTAAGGGTCCCAACCCTTATTTTAGTATAAGTGGTAGCCCTTGGGCCAAGGATACCCTGTGACAAATTTGACACTGATTGGCCAAGGGGTTCTTGAGTTATGGCCCATATTCTAAAAAGTAAACACACACCGCACACCGCACAAATGGCCATAGCATTAGCTTTTTGAGCCTTTGGCTCAGAAGAGCTAAAAATAGCCGATGTTTCTACTTACAATAAACAAGTAATTGCACTTGTGCAGAGACACTGTTGTTGATTTTATTGCTGGCTTTAAGTGTGTAATTCCAAGTATCTGTACATCTGGTCTTATTTATAGTATATTTGGCAGTAGTCACTGACTCTTGTTTATGAACTCTTTCAGATCCTTTGAACCAGGATACATCTGAAGCTGGGTTACTGGAAATGTTCCGAAATAATGTAATCTCCTGACTCTCATTTGCATAAAATGTTGGCCCTTCTAGTACTCTAGGGGGATCTAAAAGAAAAGAAATATCAAATAAGTATCCAACCTTCCAATAAGACTTTTCTTGAATTTTAAAGAGGCTGGGTGGTTGTGGCCATTTTTAGACTATTTTGATCTCCATTAGAAGAAGAGCTCCATATAAGGATATAATAAAATGATCAAATTTTACAATTAAAATTTATGAAATTTTTCTTTGCCAAATGATAGTTGACAGCTTAAGATATCATACCCTAAAATTTAAGTTATATCTGCATGGTGGTTAATAAAAAAATAATTAGTTGACCCCCTAGCCTCCTTAAGGGACCCTCTCAAAAAAAGGTAAAATTACTATAAGATTATATATGAAGTGCCAATTATTCGAACTTTAAAGGAAATTATACAAATACAACAATACACTAATTTTGCTCAAATTGAAATATAATTATGATAAGCAAAACTACAGTAATTTACGGAATATAGGTCGATACTTTTTTTCTCAGAACTGCTGGGGTCGCCCAATATACAGATTTTGACCTGTTTAAGGCTTGAGTTTACGAAAAATGCCCCCAATCAGTAAAATTTACGTCAATTTCAAAGCAAATTTGTGCCAATTTCGAAACTTTTTTGATTATTTACACCAAAAAATTAATGCTCCGGTAAACAATGAAATATTTATTTTATACCTTTCTTACAAAATAAATTCCATTGAATATTCATTGATTACAAAGGAAAAAAACATTGCTTCATCTAGTAAATAATTCCTCAACATATTATCCATTAACATAATGTGGTAGCCATTTTGAAGTTAGGAAGTCGTGATCGTGTACTAAAAGTAACAAGAGGCCCATGGGCCATATCGCTCACCTGAGGACTGTGGCTAAGAAAAAGTAGAAATTGGTTTATAATTGAAAAGTTTAAATCCAAAAGTAGTCCCATGACCAATCATGGCTTTGCTATTCTTGAGATTTTTTAAAGAATTTTCCAATATATTTCTATGTAAAACTTTGGTTGGCTACTGTGGCCCCGCCCTATCCCTGGGGATCATGATTTGAACAAAATGGAATCTACACTACCTGAGGATGCTTCCATAGAAATATGATGAATTATGGCTTTGCTATTCTTGAGAAGAAGATTTTTAAAGAATTTTCCTATATATTTCTATGAAAAACTTTGGTCGGCCATTTTGGCCCCACCCTACCCCCAGGGATTATGATTTGAACAAACTTGAATCAACACTACCTCAGGATGCTTCCCTATAAATATGATGAATTATATGGCTTTGTCATTCTTGAGATAAGATTTTAAAAGAATTTTCCTATATATTTCTATGAAAAAACTTTGGTCAGCCATTTTGGCCCCGCCCTTCCCCTGGGGGTCATGATTTCAGGAAAATTGAATCTACACTACCTGAGGATGCTTCCATAGAAATATGATGAATTATGGCATTGACATTCTTGAGAAGAAGATTTTTAAAGAATTTTTCAATATATTTCTAGGTTAAACTTTGGTCGGCCATTTTGGCCCCGCCCTACCCCCCAGGGTCATGATTTGGTGGTTCATGTAAAAATAAAAGCTTGTTAAAATTTCAATTGATTGTGTTCTTATTCTTCCCTTTATTTTTCACAACTTGAATCTACACTTCCTGAGGATGCTTCCATATAAATATGATGAATTATGGCTTTGCTATTCTTGAGAAGAATATTTTTAAAGAATTTTCCTATATATTTCTATGAAAAACTTTGGTTGGCCATTTTGGCCCGGCCCTACCCCGGGGGGTTATGATTAGAACAAACTTGAATCAACACTACCTCAGGATGCTTCAATATAAATATGATGAATTATGGCTTTGTCATTCTTGAGAAGAAGATTTTTAAAGAAATTTCCTATATATTTCTATGAAAAAACTTTGGTCAGCCATTTTGGCCCTGCCCTACCCCCGGGGGTCATGATTTGAACATGAATCTACACTTCCTGAGGATGCTTCCACAGAAATATTAGAAATATAATGAATTATGACACTGACATTCTTGAGAAGAAAATTTTTAAAGAATTTTCCAATATATTTCTATGTTAAACTTTGGTCGGCCATTTTGGCCCCACCCTACTCCCTGGGGGTCATGATTTGAACAAACTTGAATCTACACTACCTGAGGATGCTTCCATATAAATATGATGAATTATGGCTTTGCTATTCTTGAGAAGAATATTTTTAAAGAATTTTCCTATATATTTCTATGAAAAACTTTGGCTGGCCATTTTGGCCCGGCCCTACCCCGGGGGGTTATGATTAGAACAAACTTGAATCAACACTACCTCAGGATGCTTCAATATAAATATGATGAATTATGGCTTTTTCATTCTTGAGAAGAAGATTTTAAAAGAAATTTCCTATATATTTCGATGAAAAAACTTTGGTCGGCCATTTTGGTCCTGCCCTAGCCCCTGGGGTCACGATTTGAACAAACTTAAATCTACACTACCTGAGGATGCTTCCCCATAAGTTTCATCTTTCCTGGCACAGTGGTTCTTGAGAAGAAGATTTTTAAAACATGCCACCAAATTTTCATTAATTCCCGTGGCCCTTCATTTGAACAAACTTGAACAAACTTGAATCCCCTTCACCTGAGGATGCTTTGTGGCAAGTTTGGTTTAAATTGGCCCAGTGGTTCTTGAGAAGAAGTCGAAAATGTGAAAAGTTTACAGACAGACAGACAGATGGGTGAGCTAAAAACCGCAACTGTATCAAAATTTAAAATACCGAAAATTTCTCACGATCACAACTGAAGTGTTTTTACCATTTATTAGTAGCAATAAATTAAAATAGTATATTAAATATTTTTTTTTATTGTGACAGTCTTATATCCAATTAAATGTAATATGTGTGAAATAAATTGTTGCCAGTCAATGGTTGTTTGCCTATTTTAGCTAATCCCTGGAGAAGGAAAATAAAAATGGTGGCCATCGAAGTCGTCCACCGGTAAATAATGACTGAATAAAATATATTAGAAATGTATCCAAGTTGTTCTGAAATCAGTATTTATTATTCTTTCATCTGAGGTATTTCCCGAATTATAGCTGTATAATAATAACGTATTGATGTGTTATTTATGCCTCTGATTTAACAACAGTGTGAAACTATGGAGGCATTGAACAGGCAAGTTGGAGAAAAATAAGTAGTAACATAATTCAAAGAAGTTTTAACTACATTTTTTAAAAACTTTATTTAAATGCTGTACTCATTAAAATACCTGTTTATTTTCTTGATACATTCATGTCACGGAATAACCCCGGTAATTTGTTTACCTGTTCTTACGAGGGGTGTTAGAAATGTTCGCGGACAAGTTCTATTGTGAGCGCGCTATTTTCACGAAACCAGTCAAACTTTTCAGATAAAATCTTAACCTATTTTCCAATAAATATACAAAACTTTGGTGCTCTCCTGTGCTCATTGAAAAATATACAGCTGTTTTATTTTGATAAATCTTGCTTCACAGAGCATGCTACATTTTGGCACGTTTACATCACACAGACTCTTTATCAAAATTAAAAATTGCACAATTGTAGCGCAAAGAGATTTGTGATATTTTACCTGTCGCAAAAGTATTCTTGAAACATTACTGGGAGAAATTTTGGATCAAATTGGAGAGTATATGACTGTTTTATAGCCATTTATGAATGTTCAACGCATTAAAACACAGCCAAAAATCGGAACGTCATTGAGCGTCATGGAGCACTGCACTACGTAAAAATTATGCATGCAGACTGGAAAATGTCTAAAAAGAGATTAAAATGTGCAAGATACTGCCGGGAATTTCATACAAAGGACAAAAGTTTTCAGATGGTTGTAGCTTTATAAGAATGTAAGGATTAACATTTTGAATGATTAACCCCATCGATACTTCAATACCCCTTTATTGCATGGACGTTGTGCCTTTATGGTTTTGCATAGTTTCCATACCTGATCAATTAACTGCATAGACTTTTTTCCAAAGATCTCACTAATATCCGAATCAGTACAAAAGACATTATAGTAGAAAAGTAACATGTCTTGATATAGATGTTCAAATTTAGAGTAGAAAAATATGGAAAAAATGATAGATTTAATGAAATGCGACAAAGCTTAACGGGTTGAAATCTGGCTGTCACGTCGCCTTACGTCAAGTGATTGCTCCGTGAATCCCATGACCTCATAGTAAAAATCGTTGTAAATTTTCAAGATTGTAGTAAACGGACCTGATTTTTTACATACAAATAAACAAAATGTAGGAATTTATTTAGACATAGGTCATACTTCACAGTACACAATAGATTTTCCGTAATTCAATGTGTTCGCGAACTTTTCTAACAACCCTCGTATACGTTGTACCTGCATAAAAATCTTTAGAAAATGGGAAACAAAGCCTCGTCCTATATAGTAAGTTCGTCCTTTCTTAGGATTTTTCAAAAATTAAGGCTGAAAAATGAGCCTTTCGACCTATATACCCCATCGACCTATAATCCCGAAATTACGGAATTATTTTACATGAAAATAATACTGTAAATCATTTTTATTCCACTGTGTTAAAATTTCACGATTTCTCAAAAACTATCAATCGCATTGGTTTTTATTTCATGCTGCAAGAAATTATTTAAGATTTTGTATAATCATTTAAAAGTTTCTTTAACTAATAATAGGATTCACCATGGGTTTAATTTCGCAGAAATTATAAAACGCTAACATAGTGAAATTAAAACCATCGTGATTACTTGCCAATCTACAGTATGTAAAAAACACATCTTGTTACCAATCGGGTCATCTCAAAATGCCAAAAATTAACAAATTAACACTGTTTTTATTTCGCAGTACAGTTAAGGTTACAATTTACTGAAACAATCTTAGGAAGATAGAACACAACTCATTTCTTAAATGCATGTACTCAGGATAACTTACAGAGCACATTGACAGTTTCAGTGTTATAATTAGTCCCCTCCTTACTCGATCGTAAAAATGTTTATTTTTGTTTCAGCTTGAGGTCCTGTTTCTCTAACTACATGTTTGTGAAATTGCTACTAAAGAATAACTTACAGAGCACATTGACAGTCATGGACTGCCTGCTTGATCCCGTGCCTCCAATGCTGTAACTGTTTTGTGCTGTACAGGTGTAGGTACCGGCACTGCCTCTCTGTATTCTCTGTATCCGTAGTTCAGCACCATTCTGTCTGAATCCAGAGTCACCTGTCTTGGTCCAGTAGACAGTGGTTTGGGAAGGATTTCCATTGGTGACAGAACACGTGACAAATAGGTCATCTCCTTCTATGATGTCTTGATTTGTCAAACTGAACACAGTCGGGGGATCTGTAACACAAAGCTATAAATGAATAAAATGTCAAATATATTGTTGGGTTTAAGAAGTTTGCAAGTGATTCAATGCTGCTTTGTACTATCCATGCAGATATGCCAATTTTGTCAATTAAGGTATGTCACTCGTAAAATTTCTGAAATCAAGGATTTATTGAGAAGTATATTTTGGATAAGTCCTCATAAAGAGTGACTCAAAATTGCAGAGAAAATAAGAGGTCTACGGTACATAGAAGTTGACCTTTTTGCACTTAAAATTTAACTCTTTGGTTAATTACTTAAACCTCAATTATATTTTATCAGGTAACAAGATGTAAATATGATCTCATTTTACGTTAAATATTTTGAATGATATTCAAGGAGTGAATTTAAAAGCTACCCATTTTATACGGTATAAACTGGGTTGGGGCAGTTTACGCTTTATAAACCGCGACCCCCGGGGGTCATGGTTTGAACAAACTTGAATCAACATGACCTGAGAATGCTTCCATATAAATATGACCATTCATGGCTTTGTTATTCTTAAGAAGAAAATTTTTAAAGAATTTTCCTATATATTTCTATGTAAAACTTGGGTCGGCCATTGTGGCCCCGCCCTACCCCCAGGGGTCATGGTTTGGAAAAACTTTAATTTACACCACCTGAGGATGCTTCTATATAAACATGATCAATTACCGCTTTGCTATTCTTGAGAAGAAGATTTTTAAAGAATATCCTATATATTTCTATGTAAAACTTTGGTCGACCATTGTGGGCCCGCCCTACCCCGGGGGTCATGATTTGAACAAACTTGAATCTACACTACCTCAGGATGCTTCCATAGAAATATGATGAATTATGGCTTTGCTATTCTTGAGAAGAAAATTTTTAAAGAATTTCCTATATATTTCTATGTAAAAATTTGGTCGGCCATTTTGGCCCCGCCCTACCCCTGGGGGTCATGATTTGAACAAACTTGAATCTACACTACCCCAGGATGCTTCCACAAAGTTTCTTCTTTCCTGGCACAGGGTTCTTGAGAAGAAGATTTTTAAAACATGCCACCAAATTTTCATTAATTCCTAATTATCTCCCCCTTGAATGAGGGTGTGGCCCTTCATTTGAACAAACTTGAATCCCCTTCACCCAAGGATGCTTTGTGGCAAGTTTGGTTGAAATTGGCCCAGCGTTATTGATAAGTCGAAAATGTGAAAAGTTAACAGACAGACGGACAGACAGACGGATGCTGGACAAAATGTGTGATCAGAAAAGCTCACTTGAGCCTTCGGCTCAGGTGAGCTAAAAATTATGGACTTAGTACCTGAAAGTTTTTGACAATGAAAAGAAAATAAATCTAAAATCTCCGAACCCGTAAATCCAATTTTGTTTTCGCAATCGAATTTCTATATATTACTAGATAAGCCTTTCAATGACATATTCTAAAGTAACAAGAGGCCCAAGGACCTTGAATCGCTCTTCTGATAAATTGTACAATCTATCATTTCTATTTAAAGCCTCTAACACTTATTATCGTAAGACCCAACTTGCATCCACTGACAAAGTTTGATGAAAAAATTAGGTCTTTACAAAAAAACATAAGTAGGTCACAGTGACTTTCTTTAAGTTTGAAGTTTTCTGAGGACTCGAGATGCATTAATAGACAAAGATTGAAGATTCTTAGTGAATAAGTATTTTGATATATTTAAAAGTAGGTCACTGTGACCTACTTTTTTGTCTACATTCTCCGAAAACCCAATGTATCAAATGACCAAGTTTGATGATTCTAAGTCAATAAGTACTTGAGATACTTAAATAAAGCCATAAAATGTGAAAAGTAGGTCACTGTGACCTAATTTTTAGCAGACAATTTTTGAAAACCCAAGATACATCAACTGACAAAGTTTGATGATTCTAAACCAATAAGTACCTGAGATATTCAAAAGTAGGTCACCGTGACCTACTTTTTGGTCGACATTGTCTGAAAACCCGAGATGCATCAACTAACAAAATTTGATTATTCTAAACCTATAAATACCAGAGATACTTAAATAAAGCCATCAAATGTCAAAAGTAGGTCACCGTGAGCTACTTTTTGGATGTCATTCTCTGAAAAGCCACGATGCATAAACTGACAAAGTTTGATGATTCTAAGCCAATAAGTACTGGAGATACTTAAATATAGCCATAAAATGTCAAAAGTAGGTCACTGTGACCTACTTTTGCGTCGTCACTCTCTGAAAACCCAAGATACATCAACTGACAAAGTTTGATGATTCTAAGCCAATTAATACCTAAGATACTTAAATTTAGCCATAAAATGTCAAAAGTAGGTCATCCTGACCTTCATTTTGATTGACGTTTTTTGAAGTACCAAGATACATCTACTGACTAAGTTTGATGATCTTAGGTCTGAAGGTAATCAAAATATGCCTTTTAAACAATTTGAAAACAAATGCTTGCAAAATTCTAAAAGTAGGTCACAATGACCTACATTTTCGTAAATATGTTTTAAGGTCCCAAGATGCATCAACTTACAAGATTTCATGATTCTGACCCTCTCAGTGTCTGAAATAATAAGATTTAATGTTTTAAAAGGATTAGTCCTAAAGTTCAAAAAGTAGGTCATGGTGACCTACTTTTAAGTTGATGTTGTTTAAGGACCCAAGATGCATCAACTGACAAAATTTGATGATCATATGCCTTAAAGTGTTCAAAATATGCCTTTAATTCAATTTGAAAACAAATGCCGGCAAAATTTAAAAAGTAGGTCACAGTGACCTACTTTTTCATATGTATGTTTAAAGGTCCCAAGATGCATCAACTCACAAGATTTGATGATTCTAAACCTCTCAGTGTCTGAAATAATGGGATTAATTGTTATTAAAAATATTAGTCACGGTGACCTACTTTTAAGTTGACGTTGTTTGATGACCCAAAATGCATCAAGTGACAAAGTTTGATGATCATAGGCCTTAAAGTGTCCAAAATATGCCTTCAATTCAATTTGAAACAAGAGATGTTTGTAAAACACTTATGCCCCCCTCCCCCCAAATTGGAATTTTTCCAAGTCCAAGGGGCAAAACTCTGTCAAAAATGGCACGATTGTACCCAAAACAGAACTTGACCTAGATATTCATCTGATAAATCTGTATACTAAATTTCATCTCAGCATGTGCAACGGTTGTGAAGAAAATGAACGGAAACTGCAAATAATTGGAATTTTTCCAAGTCCAAGGGGCATAACTCAAAAATGGTGCAATCATACCTAAAACAGAACTTGACCTAGATATTAATGTGATATATTTGTATACAAAATTTCATTTCAGGAATGAGAGTACCAAATCTCCGGATGAGCACATGGATTTCTTTGTGGTAAATGTAGGGTCACGTACTGAATAGGTCGGCATTACCTGATTGGCTGAAATGAGGTATGTAATGTTTTTCATTTTAAAGTAAAAATATTAATGTTTGAAATAAATGATGGAATGTAGGAATATTACAGAGAATATAGAAATACCAGGGGAGATTAGGAGCGGGGGTTGATTTTTTTTTGCAGAGTGCTATTTACTGCCGATCGATACCTTTAGTTTTAAAGAACTGCAATTTTGACCTATAAACGCCATGGGACCCTATATTTTTTTCTGGATTTTTTATAAGCACTTGGATTAAAGTTTCAAATGATACCAAGGAATTGTCTGAAATTAAATTAGTATAGTAGTGAGAGGACAAAAGTTTTGTATAGAGTTCTATGGGAAAATAATTGGTACTCTTTTCCCTATATTCAGTATGTGCAACGGTTGCAAAGAAAATGAACGGAAACTGCAAATAATTGGAATTTTTCGAAGTCCAAGGGGCATAACTCTGTGAAAAATAGTGCGGTTGTACCCAAACCAGAACTTGACCTAGATATTCATCTGATAAATCTGTATACTAAATTTTATCTCAGTATGTGCAACGGTTGCAAAGAAAATGAACGGAAACTGCAAATAATTGGAATTTTTCGAAGTCCAAGGGGTATAACTCTGTCAAAAATGGCGCGATCGTACCCAAACCAGAAATTGTCCTAGACATTCATGTGAAATATAAATGGGTCATTTTCAAAAAAAGTCCACTTTTTTGTCTTTTGATCAGAAAAATAGGAAAAACATTTTTTAGAGTAAAAGTTTTTTCCCGTTGGTTAATATACATGGTCATACAGCTTATAAGTTATTTTTTGATCATCTCACAGGTGTTTTATAAAAAATATTCTATGCATTCCGAGTAAAATTTAACAGTAAAACCATGTCACATTAACAAAAATTTTATAACATGCTTATTTAAATGATAGGGAAAATATTACCATGTGAAGATATGTACAAATTTTGCACCTCATATTAATTGAATTTATTTACAGATTAATTTAATATGATTGTTTTACTTATGCCGCCCACTAAATACTAGTATTGTGCATTTAACGTTCAGGAAGTGACGTGTCCCTCCAGTTTATGTCATTCCTGTTACCAAAAAGAAAATGTTAAAATAAAAGTTATCTCACTTTCTTACCAACTGTTTTCATGATCCACAATATATCATCATTTTCTGTTGTCTCAAGTTTATGAGCGCCATGATTTGAAAGTGAGTAAAGAAAGGGTTTAAAGGTTGATACGTTTGTCTTATTGGTAGAGTATAATGAAAATATGTCCTATCTGTTACCTTCTTAATATGCAAGTACTCTTTGAATTGTTTATTCTGCTAAAACAATTAGATTAACTAAGACACAAAGAAATTGTTTCAATGTCTCGATGATGCAAAAAGAGTACGTTATACTAACTAATATGTGATTTATATGAGAAACGTCCATCCTGTTACTGTCATTCCTGTTACCATTAATATGGTAACAGTAAGGAAAACTGGACTTCATATCTTGAGATTTAACAATAAAAACAATTACTTTTATTTTTATAAGTAATATAAGTTTAATAGCACATGTTAAAAAACTTCGTAAATCATATTGAAATATGTTAGTGCTTCAAATAGTG